CGTCGGCGCCGCCACGAAGCCCTGACGAGTAGGAGGGTCGCGGCGGTGTGCGCAGAAGGGTCTGGGCGCGAGCCTGCCTGGAGCCACCGTCGGTGCAGATTTTGGTGGTAGTAGCAAATACTCCAGCGAGGCCTTGGAGGACTGACGTGAAGAAGGGTTTCGTGTGAACAGCCGTTGCACACGAGTCAGTCGATCCTAAGCCCTAGGAGAAATCCTATGTCAATGACGGCGTACGATACTCGAGTGTTGTTTGACTGAATTGTGACACACGCCCGTCGGGCAAAAGGGAATCCGGTTCCTATTCTGGAACTCGGCAGCGGAACCGCATACAATTCGGGCCCTCGTAAGAGTGTTCGTCGGGGTAACCCAAAATGACCTGGAGACGCCGTCGAGAGATCCGGGAAGAGTTTTCTTTTTTGTATAAGCGTTCGAGTTCCCTGGAAACCTCTAGCAGGGAGATAGGGTTTGGAACGCGAAGAGCTCGCCGCTTCGCGAATACGCGATGTCGTGCTCCCGACACGCCGCGTCCAACGGATTGATGCCTTCTTCGCCGCGCGCTAGTCTCTTCGCTAGACGCGTACCGGGCCCGCAGAACTGATAACCGGGTATGTGCAGTTCGAAGGGAAGAGCGTTTATCGCGCGATTGAGCAGACCGGTGCCGCGCATTCGGTCGCGGTTGCGCGAGGAGCATTCGCTTCTTCTTAGTTCGAACGGAAAATCGAAGATACACCGTTCACAGGGCGAAAGCGATTGCACTCGTGGCAGTCCTTGATGAGCGGCGGCGGACCGTCTATGTGCGTTCGCTGCCACGGACGATTGTAGAGTCGCATGCACGGGCGACATCTCTGCACCTCGGGATCCGCTTGTATATGTTCCGGCAAACGGTCCCACAACAGGTGCACGTATCTCCCAAATTGACGCAACAGAAGGACCTTCGGAATGTATTGCAACTCTTCCACCGTTAGATTGAGAATTTCGTAACCGTCCACCAGTATGGGAAACACACCACTGTGAGACATCTCACCGATGCGCGCGAACGATTCGTTGATTTTAGAAAATAAATTTTTTTTCTACGGATACGGCAACACGCTCGCGCTACTCATACCCGCGCGCGAGGCGTTTGTGCACGCGCGACGAAACGAAATGACGTCCGCGCTTCCCCCTCTTTTTTTCCAGCGATCGAGAGACTCATCGCGAACGAACCGAGCGAAAAAACTCGAGGGAGAAAGAGAGAGAGAAGGCAAACATGCGATTCGTGCGACAGACGGCGACGTTAGGAGTCTCGAATCTGGATCGCAAAACGTCGGCGGGGTCGGCCGCGACCGAGAGAGGAAACGGAGAATCGCGCCGGCACGGTCTTCTCCTTCCGAACGTCGTCCGTTGCATCATTTGCGGTCCCTCCAATTGCGGTAAGACGAACGTTCTCCTGAGCTTGCTGGAACAACCTCCGTTTCGAGAACGTATACGTGTACTCGAAATCTCTGCAACAACCGAAGTATCGATATCTCGAACGATTGTTCAAGCCTATAGATGAGATCGGCTATCACGCGTTTTCCGACAATCGCGACGTCGTTCCGCCCGACGAGGCGCTTCCCGACTCGGTTTTCATCTTCGACGACGTGGCCTGCGACAAGCAACACAGAATGAGGGAGTACTTTTCAATGGGTCTATCTCTGTCAGACGTACGCCAAGATACCGAAACATCTCGTGCGCGACAACGCAAATCTGCTGATCCTGTTCAGGCAGGACGGCACCAATCTGCTACACGTCTACGAAGATCACGTGAACATCGACATGTCGTACGACGAATTTTGCGCCTTCTGTCGCGAGTGTTGGCGGCGCGCCTACGGTTTCGCCGTGATAGACAAGGACAGCGCGTTGCGAGGCGGACGGTACAGACGAGGCTTCCACGATTTCGCCGTGCTGTAGGGTCGATCAGTGCGCCTCGTCGAACGACGCGAGTATGAGCGCGATCGCGGAGGAGAGAACCGCGCGAGAAATAGCCAAGACGCGCGCCTCGATTCGCAGAAAGTACGCCGCTCTCAGGGCCGAAAAAATGGAGAGCGAGATCGCTCTGGAAAAGAGGTACGAGCCTATCGTCAAACCTCTGAAACGGCTCGCCGATGACGTGGAACGCAGAGGTAAAAGACCGGGCAAAATCGACGACGACGACGGCGCTGGCTTTGCGTTCCCGAAAAAGATGAAAGCGACAAAGAGAGCGAAGAAGGACAGCGAGAACGGCGACGACGACGACGACGACGCTGGCGCCGACCTGGAACGCGATTACTGGGAGGACGACGACGTATTCGCGCCAATCGGGACAACCGCGACGGCGGAAAAAAGAGAATCGCGTCCGGCACGGCTGAGTTCGGCTCCCGCGACGACGACGACCGCGATGAGCTCCACACCGATCCGCGACGATTTGATCCAATTGTTACCCAGAGAACACGAGATCGTATCGGAAACGACGACTCCGCCTCCCACGTTGGAGACGTCCGCCGGGAAATCTTTGAGTACGGCGGAAAGTCGCGACGTTCTGACTAGCAAACTAGGACCGTTGGGACGGGAATATTTGGGCGTCTTCTGGGCGGCGACAATAACAAGGAGCTCGACACCGTTTACGGAGTGCATTTCGGCGAGAAAGGCGCGATGCTGGGAAACAAGCGATTCAAGCTGAAACCGGATGACACCATGGTCATCGACGATGTACCGTACAAAGGCACGCGCGGCCTGTACGAGTTGATCTTCATGGGAAAACCCGATTCTAAAATCTACACGGAGAAGGACAAATTAACGTACAGGAGCATACTTTTTTCCACCAGCGCTCACAAACGCGGCGGCAAAGCCGACAATCCCGTCAAGGGCAACAAGGGACCGAAGTACAAAAATATAATAGCGCCGCTCGTAAACCTGTCTCTCAGAGTTGGAACTACGAAGGGTGCCGGGTTACCGTCGGCCATGCGACTGACCGACAACGCTATCGATTACGTTTACTGGGACGATCCCAACGAGCTGGTCGATAGACTTCGACTGCTGGACGCCTCTCGTCGGGCCGGCAACGATGCTCACGACAACGAAATCCTGTCGATAATCGAGGAACTTCGCGAGGCCAGCTTCGTCATAAATTGATCGGTCGCGTCGGTCGCGACGTCAGTGCGAGTCGCGCGCCCGCCAGTGCGATGTCCGTGAACAAATTCGGCATGTCTCTGACGAATCGGGGCAGCGGCGACGGAGTCGACGGTGCGTCCGCGGTGAGATTGCGCTCCTCGATCGAGTCCCTGCGCAATTCCGCGCGCAACAACGCGCTCTTCATGAGCGAGGATTTTTACGACGCGAAGGAGCGCAAGATACGAAGAGTGGCCGTGCCGGAGATCGGCACCAACGCGGCGAACAGGAGTTACGTCGAGGACGCGATTGGGCAGCTGAAAAGCGTTTTGATCGAAGAGATCAAGAATAACAACGCGATCCGAGATTTGGGAAACGGAATCGCGGCGTTGGAAAGCGTCGCGCTCCGTTTGAACGCTCAGGATTCCTACGACGCGTCGGGGCGGAAGATTCGACGCGTAGCCGCGCCGGAGGTCGGCGCCGACGCGGCCAACAAGAGGTTCGTCGAGGGAGCGATAGCGGAACTCGGAAAGACTTCGAGCGACGCGATAAAAGAATTTAAAGAGGAGTTCGTCACCGTGAAGAATACCGCGGATAGGCACGAAGTTGAAATCATCGCGATCAAGACTGTTTTGAAGATTATCAAACAAAATGAGCGTGGAAAAACGTAGACTCGTCGAAGAATTGCACGCGCCGGCGCGAAAAAATTTTCCTCGCCGCCGCGTCGTGGTGCGCGGTTACGACGACCTGTGGCAGGCCGACGTGGTCGAGATGCGCCCCTATTCGCGCGCGAACGCGGGCCACAATTACATTCTGACGGTCATCGATGTGCTGAGCAAGTACGCCTGGGCGATCCCGCTCAAGAGCAAGGGTGGAAAAGAGGTCGCAACGGCTCTCCGAAAGATCTTTCGCGAGGACGCGCGACACCCCAGGAATCTGCAAACGGACAAAGGAAAGGAATTCTACAACGCCGACGTGCGCAAAATCCTCGACGAGCGCGAGGTGAATCATTATTCCACGTATTCGGTGATGAAAGCGTCGGTGGTGGAGAGATTCAATCGCACGCTGAAAAACGACATGTGGAAGCTCTTCACGCTCCAGGGATCGTACAGATGGATAGAATCGCTGCCGCGCCTCTTGTCGAATTACAATCGTCGCAGACACAGAACGATCCGAATGCGTCCGGCGGACGTGACGCCCACCGTCGCCGAAAAATTGCTGCGCACGGTGTACGGTCGCGCGAAGATAGCCGCGCCGGCGAAATTTCGAGTCGGCGATCCGGTGCGCGTGAGCAAATTCAAAACAATCTTCGAAAAAGGCTACACTCCCAATTGGACCACCGGTCTTTCGCATAACCAAAGTATAAAGGACCAATCCCGTTACGTATCTGCTGAAAGACGTTCGCGAAGAAGCGCTAGCCGGAGGATTCTACGAACACGAGTTGCTGCGCGTCTCCAATACCGACGTTTATCTCGTGGAAAATGTTCAGCGCAAGCGCGGCAATTGAGCGTTCGTGAAGTGGTTGGGAATGGACAGTTCGCACAATTCGTGGATAGATAAAGCGTCTGTGTTGTAAAAAGAAAGAAAAACTTTGACATTAGTAGACAACGCTTACTTTATTGTCAATAAAGGTTTACACATTCGTCGATTTGTTTCTTACGTGTTGTTGATTTTTACGATAAAACAATTTTTAAAGCGTACAATATGGTTTCACCCCTTTTTTTTACAACGGTATTTTGTAATGTCCCCACGGAAGCGTCTCCTCGCCGTTCGACGTCACGTATTGCTTGTCGCCGTGCGGACTGAGGGCTAGTTTTTGCTCCGACACGGTGTTAACCTCGTGCAGCGTCGAGCGTATGCACGACTGGCGCGTCTTCAGCTCGCGCGCGTTCCGCAGACACTCCACGTAATCCTCGAACGTGATCCTCTTCGCGACTACGTTTCTCTTGACGCCCTTTATTCTCCTGGTGTCGTCGCGTCCGAGTACCTTGTAAGTGTACATCTTCGCTCTGAGGCCCACGAACTCCGTCATGATCGCGCCGTTGTTCTCGTCCTTCATCAAACCTGGCACCTTCTTGTTGACGCGCGGCATACCGTGCGCGTTGTTCTCAGCGTAATCGCTCGTGTCGAACCTGTGCACGTCGCGTTTCATACGCTCGTACACGTCTTCGCACTCCAGCGAATAGATCAGACTGTCCGTATCCGTGTAGGCAATTCGACAACGGTCGCGATAGAGCGGCACCATGTAGTCGTAGTGAAACTCGTAGAGACGCGTCTTGGATATGTCAAGAATAGACATACCCACGTAGATCGGCTTGTTCAATTGTACCTCGAGCCTTCGCAGCTCGATCGCCACCAGATTCTCCGAGAAGACGCTCCTGCTGTGAAAGTTCGGCTTAGCGATCAACGCCTCCGCGCCGTATCTCCCGTCCCATCGCGTCACGAGACGCACGTCCACGTGATCGCGCACGTTCTCCATAGTCTTGCCGAAGACGGCGTTGTTCATCAGTTTGTACAAATTCCGTTCGAACTTGTTGCTCGCGCGCGTCCTAAGCGCGGTGTTCAGCTCGATGTAGACGCGAAGCCACGGCGACTGGGCGAATCGCAGAACGCGACGAACGCGCGTCAGACGCATACCTAGTCGCAGACATTGCTGCAGGTTTCGATAGTGCGTCACGTAGCGCGATTTGTCGTAGAGAGTGGTGAGTAGTTTTTCCTGTCGCTTGCCGGGCGGTTTGTCGCGCGTCGGGCACAACGGCAGATCCGCGTGAGCGTCGTGCAGGTCTCGCGGGTACTCGAGATTCACCTCCAAAATGTAACCGACGTCGCTGTCCGTCGGCACGGTCGTCGCGTCGAAATTATCAGGATTGTCGAGCCACTGGAAATTCGCGTAGGGCAACGATTCGCTCATAGCCCAACCGTACAGATTGTTCACGTCGTAATACATGAGATACGTAGTGGGCTGGGACGAATCGTGCGTCGGTACGTGCCTGTTGTTGGCTCGCGCGTACCTGAGCGAACATTGACTGAGGCCGCCGCGTATTCCGCGTTCCACGAACAGCACCATGTCGATGTCGGTGAGCAGCTCGAAACGCACGACGGTGTACCTCAGCATGGCGTCCCACGTGTACCCCGGCAACGTGTAGTAATGCGCGGGATCGAGCCCGTAACTCGCCGAACACGCGTCCCGAAAATTTTCAAATATATCCGCCAGAAGAAGCACGTCGGTCTTGAGATACAGATCGCTGTACTCGCCGAGATCTCGCACGCGAAAACGTCGCCAGACCCTCGTCGCGTGCTCGTAGTCGCTCTCGCTCGCGGTCTCGTCGGTCAGGGAGCTGTAAAAGGCCTCGCGCGGCGGAAGCTCGGTATCCCACAGTTTGTCCGCGCCGTCGACGTACTCGTACGGAAACACACCCTTGCGAGTGAGCAGATCGAGATCCTCTGCGCTCAAATCCGCGTACTCCGAACGCGTGATTCTCAGCTTGTCCCTGTTCAGATAGGACGCCAGGGTTTTGATACTCGCCGCTAAAAATTTATACGAGTCCACGAATCGAAGCCTCACGTACCGATCCCACTTCCCGTCCGTCTGCGTCTCCTTAACGGTCTTCGAGAAAGATATGTAGCTTTCCTTCGTGAGCGGCAGCAGATCGACCCCGCCCTCGAAATCGTTCGCGATTTTCTCGACGACGAAGTGCGCGTCGTAACCTCGTAACCCGACAAATTGTGAAAGAACACGGGAATCACGTAAACGTTTCTATAATTCAGATTGCAACGAGAATGCGCCGAACCTCTGTAACGTCCGGTTAGGTGACAGTGATCCCGCACGCGCTTGTCCTCCGGTTGAAACGGTTTCCCGCACACGTGACAATGAATCGCGAGCAGAAATTCGTTTTTCTCGTCCTCCGTAAGTTCCACCATCGCTATATTGGTGGAAAATTTATTCTTAACGCGACGCGCGAGAACGCGAAGCTCGTTCACGAACCACGAAACGCAATCTTCGCCGCGACGATATCTGTACGCGGACGCGGTATCGTCATAGGTGCAGCACAGATAGTAGCCCAGGCTGAACGGTACGTGACGTTGATAAGCGTATCTTTCCGTTCTCGGGCCCCTCTCGACGTTTTCCCTCTCCCGTCGTTCGAGAAGACACTCCAGATCCGCGTACACCACGAAGGGAAGTCGCTCCTTTCTGTCGTAATTGTCGAAAGACTGCCACTTGTCGCTCTCGTTCGGGAGAACGACGGCGCAGTCGTTCATTCGGCCGCAGTCGACGCTGTGGGCGGCCAACTTGTCGCGCGTATAGAAATAGTGTAGACATCTGCGAAATAACATGCAAGCGATTACTGCGTGTATGTAAAAAAAATAACGCCTCGTCTTTTCCTTGTTCCCCGTGTTTTTTTTTTTCATTTTATTTCTTTTACCTACCGATCGCAAACGTGCTTCGCGTACCGTTTCGCTGTCAATTGCGAATTCACCAATCGCGACAGATTCTTTATCCAGGCGAAATGGCCCCTGTTGACGCCGCGCAGCGTATCGCACAGATACAGCAGATTTACGTGCCTGTCCCGCTTATCGTCAGTCAACCGCAGAGGCACGATCGCGTTGTGGTCGGCGCCTCGGCCGAACTTAGCTTTCTTTTCAATTGCTTCCCGAGTTGTAAACACGTTGATCGATACGTCGTTCTGACGTTCGAATTTTCCAATCCTTTTCAGATCTATGGGAAAATCGATCCCGTCGAGATTCAGCACCGTCGCGTTAATCGGGATACGAGCCGCATCGTTCCGCGTGCCGCTCGGCGGGGTACAGAGCGGCGACCACCGCGCGCGCGAAACACGTGTCGTTCTCCGACGGCACGTTGACCACCGCCTTTTTAAGTCTTATACCTAGCGGTATTTTCATCCAACATCCCACGCGCATGGGATTACACTTGTTCACGTTCACGATTAGGTTCAATATTCGCGACAAGCCCATCCGCTGTCGCGTTCCTGAAATTCTTCCAACCGCGTTAGAATCTCGTCGCGCACGTGCCTATCGTACCACTCGCCCAGATCGGACCCCGGGAGGAGCTGTTCGTTCCGCGTAGCGATACTCTTCACGTCGGTCTTAACGTCCGCTACGAATTCCCCGTTGAATATGACGTTGACCTTCAGACACCCGTGTTTGGTCATATTATCCCGGACCTTTTCGAGCCCTTCGCGTCGTCGAGAAATCGCGCGGGCTCGATGTACGTCGAGTTCGTCACGGCGCCGGTCAGCACGCGACGTTGGAACGCCGCGTCGATCTCGATCCACGAGAAACCTCTGTCGCTGCTGCCGCCGCTACCACTTTTCCCTCCGTCCAAGCCGGCACCTACGGCGCGTTCGAATCGTCGACGCAGATCCTCCCTCGAACCTTCCAATCGTGCTATTAGAGCCACCAGAGCGCTCACGGCTCCCGTGTTTCCTCGCTTCCCGGAGCGTTTGACTCGACACTGTTCCCGCAGGAGTCGGAGACACTCGTCGCATCGCCGTCTCCACGCGCGGTACCCGTCCGCGTCGTGGACGTCCGCGGCGAGCAACTCGTCGCACTCTTTCCGCATCGCGTCTAGAAAGATTCACTCTCGGGAACGTTGAACTTCACTTGGTCGAAAAGACGACAAGACCAGGCGATTTGAATCCGATATATCCTGCTCTGTCCTCCGTACACCGACTCGTAATAAACATAATACTTGAGCGGCAGGCGACGCATATAATCGTTCGCCCTGACGGAGTTCGCCACCGTCGTCTCTATCCACTTTCGCTCGCGATGGATTTGCGCTCCGATTTCCCTTCGCAGATGATGGGTAGCCAGATTCCATCGCGCGTCCTCCTTCGCAACCGACGCGCGCGCACTTGACAACGGTGCTTCGACTCTCGCCGATTCGTCGTCCGAATCGGACAAAAACTTAGGCATGGGCTTGCGACAGCGCAATTCGTCGTCCGATTCCTCGGACGACGGATAACGGCGATCGTTCATTCGCGAGTACCCCAGCCGGGAATGCTAGCGTCTTTTCAACATTTATAGATGTCGATAGATATCAAATCAGCCTCTATAAGATATCAATTGGACGTCTATAGACGTCGGCGTTCCGGCTGGGACGTATCGCCGACGCTACATTCGCACCGCTGATATCAAAGTAAAAAGATCTCCATCTTGAATCCTCCCACATTAATGTTTCGGTGTAATCATAAGTATCCCACAAACCTATTTTACAATTCCCTCCACACTGTTCACAGAAGTCGTGCGTCAATACTTCGTCGTAAACGTTACGGACGCTGCCGCGAACCATACATCAACATGTTTTAACGTATGAGTCCAAAGCCCTCCAAATGTGTTCGGTTCTACCGATATGCAATTTGAAATTCTTGGGACACCACCTGCGTTCGTTTTTACTGATATGCGATCTAGAATGCTTGGGACACCACGTGTCAGTGCCAGCGAGTACGTTTCGAAATCCGACTTCTCTGCCGCGAAGCAAACGCACCATCGACGAGCAATAGCGTCCGTCCGTTCCCATACCGTATTTTCTTTACAAATATATTAACTCTCGACCGCGCTCTAGAATCCTCGTAGAAAAAAAACCGTTTGCCGCGCCGTTCGCGCGCCCGTTCAATTTATACTTCCCCGTTCGTTGTCTCAACGGAAGACGTACCCCTGCCGGACGCGATTTTCCCGGAATGACGACAACCGCTCGCGACATCCTCCGACGAAAAATAAAAAAAAACAAAAGGAGAAAACGACAAGAGCGACCGCGACGCCGAATTCGAACGCGCGTTACATAAATTATCGCAAATCGCGAATCACAGGTCGAACGCGAGGTGAATGAAAATTGTCGCGAACAAAGAGACGAGTCGTCTCGCTCGTTCTCTCGACGCGTCGCGTCGGGGATGGGCGGGAAAACCGCGAGACAAAAGGAGGAAAACCGCGAGACGAGACCAAATTGGGAAACGACGAGAGCGACCGCGACGCCGAGTTCGAACGCGCGTCGAAAAAAATTGTCACGCGTCGATCGAACGACGAGACGATGAGTCATCTCCATCGATCCCGATGAGTCGGGAAAACCACGTGCTGCCCGTCGCGACGCTGATCGAAGCGACCTTCGGACCGAGAGTTAAAAAACAAAAACAAAACGACGACGAAGACGGGCGCGCGACACCCCCCCGCGAAACGAACCATCTAGAACGCGTCGTTCTCCCCCCCCATCCCCGAAACGTCCAGACGAGCGACCTCGAACGAGTTCGAACGAGTTCGGACGCGTCCGAACGCGCGCGCGACCGACGACGATGCAAAAAAAAACAAACGAAAAATATCGGCCCGCGATTCTCCAAAACCGCCGTCGGTAACGGCGCGAGCGCCGCTCCGAGCGCCCTCTCGGAAAATGCCCAAATCCCCGCTACGAGCCCCCGTTGGCGGCCCTGCCCCGCGCCGAACCCCCGTTGGCGGCCCTGCCACACCCAACCTTCCGTCAAATGTTCCCCTTGCGTCGCGCACCCCCTCTCGCCCAGTTTTCGCTTCCCCCCGCATAACCCCTCTTCCGATGACCCTTTACACCGTCCCTCGACCCCCTCGCCCACCGCTTACGGCGCTCCCCCCGCGGCAGCGAAGCCCCCCCCCCCGACCCCGCGTAACCGCAAGCGAGATCCCTGGGGCAAGAGTATCTATATCCTCCCTACTCATATGCTTAACGCCAAATCAAAGGTGGCCCCGCTCAAGGCCCTTACACTGCCGAGGCTCGAGCTTTGCGCGGCTGTTTTGCTTTCGGACTTGTTAGAGTATGTCGGAAAAATTCTCTGGCCCAAGGTTGTTATCGACAATACGTACGCTTGTTCGGATTCTGAAGTCGCCCTCGCTTGGATACGCTCAGTTCCGCACCGCTGGAAAACGTTCGTACGTAATTGTGTGGCCCGCATCCAGTCCAACACGGACATCTCTTGCTAGAAGCATGTCGATACCAAATCTAACCCCGCTGACTGTTGCTCAAGGGGCTTGTTTCCTCAGTAACTAGTCGACTACCCGCTCTGGTGGACTGGCCCTGCGTGGCTCGCCGATTTCGAACCCACACAAGAAACAATATCGGAGATTGATGATCTCCCTGAGGACGAAGAACGGTCTCACGTCTTTGCCTCCGTAAATCCCGACGTCGTAAATTCGGCCACGGTTATTGACTTGCTTCTTGACCGCTTCTCCTCACTAGACAAACTTATTAGAGTATTCGCCTATTGTCTCCGATTTGCTAGTAAAGCCAAATCAAACTCGCTCAACAAAACACTTATCGTAGATCAGGTCGAATTCAACTCGGCCTTACTATACCTGGTCAAGTTCGTACAATTGTGTTGCTTTGCCGAAGATATTGCTAGACTGAGACGGAGTCAGATCTGCGCCAAACCCCTGCGAAGACTCGCCCCCTTCTTGGACGCACGCGGAGTCCTCAGGGTGGGCGGTAGATTGACCCACTCCGCAATTTTGTATGAAGCCAAACACTCAGCCTTGCTACCTAAAGGTACCATTTCATGCGGCAGCGTACTGCCGCAGCAGTTTGCTGCTATTGGTTGAAAATTTGTTACTAGATCACGCAAGATAAATTTCACCATATTTCGCTTCATCGTTATGAAGTTCAACTGAATGAACAGCAAAGCAGCAAAACAGTACAGGGCCATTGTGTAACTTGAGTCTTAACGGCGTTATTGTTATATTGTGTGACGTGACAAGTCGCGTCTCCTTCTCGGACGGGCTCGGCCGAGGGGAATTCGGGGGTGCCTCCTCGTTAGAGCGAGAGGAGGGCGGTTGCGTATATTGATTGGTCTAATTAGACGTTAAGTTTTTAAGGGATTGCCGGTGGTGACCGGACTCCATCTGTAACGGCCGGGGGCCGCAACGAGGAAGGGCAGAGGATTAAGGAGACGGCCAGGGGACATGGCTGGAAGTCGGATCGCCCGGACCTCCCCGCAAGTGCATGAGCGTCGCCGGCCGGAGTTCACCCCGCACTCGGTCGTAACAGCGGCAGAATAACAATCAGGAAGACCCCGGATCAACCCCGAGCGAAATGCCAGTTGGACAAGGGTGCCGAGGAGCGGCCCAGGGAAAGGCACAGCCCTGGGGCCGTCGCCCCGAGGGGGATGCCGGCAGACGGGGCCGAGGCCCGGCCAGCCTGATCCCGAACGCCGACTCGATCATCGCGGCCCGGACAGCCGGTTGAATCGAAAAGCCCGCGCCGAATCGGAGGGGATTGCAGCGGCGCCGCCGGAAGGGGAGGCGCGCAAGAAGCTGAGGCGCCGACGAGAGCGCCCTGGAATGGGAGTGGCGCCCCCGGAAGGAGCGGCGCACGTGCGGCCTAGGCGCAGGAAGCGCTAGGATCGGCAATCCGGTCGAGCAACACGCTACAGCGCAGGCGCGGGGAACCGGCGCGATCCCGGCAGGCTATCGTTTCCGACACTGTCGTGCCGGCTAACGAGCGGAGAGGATCTCCCGGATCACGAGCTGCCCGGACTGCAGCAGGGACGACAACGAATTGTAAGGTCACCACTCTGGCGTCTCCGCGTTAAGAGAAGAGGGTTCGCTCGAGGCATCGGCCCGTGGCACACGTTGGTTACCGGAGTGCCGCAGGATACCTGTGGACAGAGTCAGAGCGTGCGATACCTTGCGCTCGCATTAAAGTAGAGTCGTGTGGAAATAGTGCCAGGGCCTTGCCGAGAGTGAGCTCTCTAATGCGTAGAGACCAAGTGCCCTCCCCGCGAGCACCGCCACGGCCGACAGTCGCGTGGCGTTGAGAGGGGTGAATCGGATTAATCGGGCCGAATTATGTAGCGTCTCGTTGCATTAGTGTGAGTAATCGTATCGCGTTATTCGTAATCGTGTAATTTTTCGTTGTGATAGAGTTTGTGTTCGTAATCGTGTCGCGTTTTGGCCATATTATTTCAGCTCGTAATCGTGTCGCGTCCTGGCCATTGAGAGTGATGCCCTGCGTGGCGACAACGGGAGCGAGTGGTGCGGGTAACGGCGAGCCGCGAGTGGTCATGTAATTTGAAGGGCACTCGCCCTCGTTTTGAGTAACGTATCCGGGCCTTCGAGGACGGCGAATATTGTGTTTGGCGGGACGGAAAGATCGACGGGATCGGCGCAGGGCCGCGGAATCTCCGTATTTGCGAGAGAATTCGGGATTCGCGTGGCAAGCCGCGGGATCGTCCGCGATACGTGTCCTTATTTCGTGTTCGGGGGCAATCGCCGGCCAGCGTGGTCGACTCGGCGAGATCGCCCATACTTTTTGCGTCGTGCGGAATCAAAGTGGCCCGGGTGCGTGTTGAAGGAGCTGCCGAGGATGCGGCGAGCGGTTCGTCGGCCTCGTGGCGTAAGTTCATTGTGAGTTTGAAGCCAGGTACCGCGATACCTGAATCGTCATTATTTCTGTTAAGCTTTTGTGTGTCCGTCTGCGTTTACCTGTTGCGTTGATAACTTCGCGTGCGTTGGTCTACAGTGTTTCATAGTCGACATTACTGCGTGCACTTATTGCGTCTGCGGCATTCGTGCGTCCGCCTAGCCGACATTGTTGCGGTAATACGAGACTCAGATCGATTATACCTCCACCTTGATATTACCTGACTAAATATATATTCTGTTATTATTATTAATACTCTTATGTGTGTGATTAATTGTGTGACGCCTCTCTCCGAATTCCCTGAAAGAGCCCTACGCCCGGAAGTATTGCCGGGAATATCGCGTTAGAGATTATAGTGTACGGTGGTGCGATCCGTTGCACCTGGCGCCCAACTTTGGTGTCGGAATTAGTTACGCGTGCTGCCAATCCTCGATAGCCCTCCACCGGATTGCGAGACCGGGGGAAAAAGCGTCGAAATTGTCATCCTATTGTTATATTGTCAACTTTAACGCTAAATATCTCGCTTTGCAGGGGAGACCGCCGCATTTTTCTGCCAAATTCTTTCGTTTCGTCGTTTTGTGTCAAAACGCGTCGAATGAGCATACTTTTATTGATCTTCGAGGTGCAACGCGTATTCTAAATTACCAATAATCCTATCATGGAATCGACGGCATCGAGTGAGATAAGAAAATATAATAATTATTACTAAATTTTTGCACAATGTCAATAATATAAATTTTAGGAATAGAATAATTATAAGAATATAAACGCAAATATAACCTCAATCTTATAATGGCTAAAAAAATGAACACTTCTATAATATAACAATGTCGACAAGTTTTGTTAACTATTAATTATGATTCTTTTTAATTTCAGATTACACTCGTTAACACTTGCGGGGTTTGCGAGGAAATTGTGGAAGAATCTCTAGTTCCTACACATAAATGCTTGGAGGGATTCGATACATACTGTTTTGATAAAAATCGATATTTTTATCCAATATGCGGTAAGTATAAATAAAAATAATATATATTTATGAAGAAATTATGAAGATAAATAGAAGATAAATCAATATTCATAATCAGATCTTATATAATATATAAGATCATCTTAAGTTCATCTTTATAGGTACTATATGTAGCGAACAATACGAGTCGTACAGCATCTAAAGATAAACTTTATAAGATTTAACTATGAATACCGGCTTAAGTATTTAATATTCTGTTACATAATTTTAGGCTGCGTTCCAGAACCACGGTCTTAATGCTCGAGTGTTGTTCTATCTTTGTTACTTACGGAAAGTTAAAAAAGAACAGAGCATGCTCTTTGCGCTAAGAGCGTTGTTCTGGAAGCCCTATAATATTATACATATGTAATAATTTTTTAATACAGATGATGGAAAAATAATACGACGAAATGCGATAAATAATGGCAAAGAGGACATCACATTAGATGAAACTAGTCAGTACGAAGAATCGACGATGGTCGATAATTCTTCTGAGTCTACGGATATAGACGAATTACTTATTGAAGAAGTTTCTAAACATGAAGTATTATATAATTACAGTATACTTGTTCAACAACGCAATCGAACTGTAACTACTGAAACGTGGACAAAAGTTTCAAAAGCTTTGGAAGGTATAAAAGTCATATTATTAAATTATATACAATATATACTTCCATACATACATCCATACATACATACATACATACATACATACATACATACATACATATGTATATACATGTGTATGTGTGTGTGTGTGGTGTGTGTGTGTGTAGTGTGTGTGTGGTGTGTGGTGTGTGTGTGTGGTGTGTGCGCGTGTGCGCGTGTGCGCGCGCGTGTGTGCGCGTGTGCG